AGCCGGGGGAAGCGGACCCTAGTGCTCCAATCAGCGCGACCGGTGCTGGTGCACCGACGTCCTTCAAGCCACACTGCCCTGGATTGGACCATGGCCCTCTGGAACATGCTTCTCGAGCCTGAAGCTCAGAAAATGAGAAACAAGCTAGAATTGTTAGGAAAAGTCTATTACGTGCCCTCAGCACACACAGAGAAGTGGGTGGACCATGGACTCACTATGTTCTTGTTCCCCAGAAGAAAAGATTACCATACAAAAATTCAGATGCCCTTTAACAATGGACAAGTTTGATAGAACAACTTGTCCCAAAACTGCACCTGAAAATGATATGTGGGTGCCCTCAACCACGTTTGGCCTGAACACGCGAGCCTCCATCTTGCTCAGTTGCTTAATCAGCCAATCTAATTGACTTGGTGCAATGCCATTTAAGATGGTTTGTGAGCTATGGATCGTTCCAAAATGAAGCAATGGGAGGACCATATGCACTGCTCATTCAACACGCAGTATACCCATCTCATAATATCGAAAAAGTGAGATGTTACCGGAGGGAGCATGGAAAACACATAAAACAAAAGAACAATGAGCCCTTCTCCTGTTCTTCTCGATGTGCGGAAGAGCCAAAGCATGGCTCAAAATGATCAACCGACCCTCTAAACAAGCGAAACAAAGTTACATAATAAATTCAGAAACTTTAACTGCCTGATCTACCAAGTCCACAACTTCAAACACAGTTACTTGCCTTACTTCCAATCGCATTTCCATTGCGACCATGCAACTAAGGCTGGAAGGACTTTAATCCAGTTGGAGTCAACTCAAAGAGACTCCATCAAGCAAGATAGAATACATGCTAGACCTTTGACAAACCGGACCTTTAACAGACCTGGATACACATGAGGTCCATCAATCCCCAAGAGCAAGCTGAAAACACATCAACCAAATCACCTGCCTAACCATAAGGGCAATTCACATGCAAAAAAACAATTGCTGAAACAAGAATCGTGTCGATACCTTTCGAACTTTTCTTAGAACATGAATGAAGTTTGTGATCTGGAGGATTGAGATCAAACCTCCAAAAAGAAACAGTGGAAATTGTTCAAAGACCAACACAACAACTTGTCTTATCGATGAAGCATCGAGAAGAAGCCAAAAGTCACTACAGTCAAATCCCAATCTCTAGT